TCGTGTCGTCGTCGCCGTAACTGTGTGTGTGTGTGTGTGTGTGTGTGTGTGTGTGTGTGTGTGTGTGTGTGTGTGTGTGTGTGTGTGTGTGTGTGTGTGTGTGTGTGTGTGTGTGTGTGTGTCTTTTGTACATGTCCTCACAAAAGAAAAATTTTCCAAGTAGAGGATGTGTGCTGTTTATTTATTCATCAGCAATCATAGATATGGATTTTTTTAATGTAGATTTTGGATTTTCACATCTTGCAAATGACCCTTTTATTGATCAACCCCTTTAAACTCACAAACTACCTGTGGATCCATCATTACACACTGACATTTCATAGCTAAATATTGTTAAAAAACATTGAAATGCTTTTTAATTCGTATGTAGATTCAGACGATTTCAAATATCAGAATCAGGCTGAAACCAGGGGAAATGTTTTGTATAGAAAAAAATATAATTGATATGTTTTGGAACAGAGTAACAATAAACAATTATGCTCATGGAATTAAATTGATCTGACGATGCGTTTCTATTTTAATAAAGTGTTTATGGATTTGTGTGTGGAATGGCAATGGTCAAAAAACTGTCCGTCACTTTGGGGGGGGGGGAAATACTTAAATGATTATCAAAATAGCCAACATTATTTTCTGTCTATGAGCTAATTGAGTAACAAAGTCATAACTCAACCACTAACGTGTTCACGGTGAAAATTGCCACAACACACGTTGAAGAAGGTCCTTGTGGCAATGTTTATAAAAGTCATATTGTAGTGCAGCACAAGTCTTTCCTTTTCTATATATTAAGAATCTAATCTAATGGTAACAAGATCTAATTATGAATTGAGTGCATTGTGTTAGCATTTAGCGCTAACATCCTCTATGTTGAGGAGATTTAGCTGCTTCTCAAAGGATGAAATGTGCATAATCACCTTTTTATTACATATTAAATATCACAACCATCCGTTATAATGATTCTCTCACTGTGGGATTATCAGTTCCAACTATCTTCATTCTGCTTTTAGTGACTGTAAAAGGGCAAACACATCTTTGCTTTGTCAAAGTCTCTGTTGGCCCCCAAAGCTGAGTTACAGCATCAAACATCAGATGCTGACGCCCCTGTGTTTCTGGTTATCTAACAGCGTGTCCTGGTTCCTCTGATGTCAGAGCGAGGACAGCTCTGTGCTGACAGCATCAACGCCCCGGGGGCAAAACAGAGACCAACTCTCCCCCCTTTGACTCCCCCGACCTCAGAGAGAGAGAGAGATTAATGAGTGATGGATTTTTGAATCACTTCAGCTAGTCGGGATTGTGATGCCTCAAGCGTAGAGTTCAACGGGAGGATCTGAATCCAGAGATAAATTACGGTCATCTGCATGGTTTATTTCTATTTGGAGATGTTTCTATTTTAGAATCGTAATTTCGAGACTATGGCTACTCCCACAACATGAAATAAAACTCGATCTCTGTGCTCGACAAGTTCAGGATGATAAAAGATAATGACGTTCAAACTCATTGTGTTACTGCGGGGGAGTCCTCGCCGGAAAAAAAGTCATCGTCTGTCCTGCTGGTTCTCCTCTTTCTCTTTCATCGTCTCTCCGAGGCTTTTTCCTCCTCTGTTTGCCCGTACTCTCCCCTCTGAGCCTATACACTTCCCTTTTATCTCAGTCTAATGTATCCCTCCCCTAGCTCAGGCTCTTATCTCTTTGTCAAATCACACCCTTCTGCTCATATTGATCCTCCAGCAAAGTGAAATCCCACGTGAGGTCAGGTCATCGAGTGTCTCTCTCTCTCTTTCTCCCTCGCTGCAGGGAGAGATATCTGACTCAGTGTCACAGTAGCCCCCAACCATCCTCACCCTGCCTACTGACGAAGATTTATGTGTGTGTGTGTGTGCGTGTGTGTGTGCGTTTTCAAATGTGAAGGATGCCTTGCAAAGTGCTGACATACAACCTAATGCTTCTATGAGACATGAACCCAATCACATCATGTTTTGAGTATTGCTGTGAAAAGGCTGCATGGTTTTAAAAAAAAGACTAATTGCGTTTATTTTGATATTTTGAGATGGCTAATAGGGACAATAAAAATAGCATCAGATCCTAATGTGTAAGCTTTCTTTGAACTCACTTGATGCACATATATTTCAATTCAGTGAGACTTGTACACTTCCTAAGGATATCATTATGCGTGCATGGCATATACGTAGGACCTCGTATCTAGAAACTATAGAGGCTCCTTGCTTGAGAATGATCACATTTTAAGGTTTTCTTTAGTATCAAAGTGTTACATTGGTAGCTGTCTCTGTGTCCATGGTTTACATTACAAGGAACTGCTGATATTTATATTTATGCATCCTTTATTAGATGGGGTTGTTGGGATAGTAAACAGAGTGTGTGGTTATTTCCTGTCCTTGGTTTCAGTGGTTTAAGATTTATTTGACAGTATAATGTGATTAGTGTGTGTGTGTGTGTGTGTGTGTGTGTGTGTGTGTGTGTGTGTGTGTGTGTGTGTGTGTTGGACTGATTGATAGACGATCTTTGTTAAAGGTATCCGGATGATGTCGGTCCGTCACATGCGCATCACATTCACTCTGTAATTCTGTAACTGAAGACACCTGATGACTTACTCACGCACTCTGTTATCGGCTCATGTTATACAAAGGCTACTGCTGCAGGTTTCTTATCAATTCATCTGTTGAATTAAGTATAAGTGATCGTCAGGTAAAAAAGAAGATGATCAAATATTCAAATTAGATCTGTTAGGATGAATCAATTTGTCAATTAGTTTTATTAATAATAAACGAGTTGTTTTAAGTACTTTTTAAGATCAATTATATTCTGTTTCACCTTCTTGAATATGAATATTTTTTAGTTTCTTGACTCCTGTTCTATGACCTAAACTTAATATCTTTAAGTTGTGGACAAAAGAAAACACTGATCTTTAAGATATCACTTAATATCATCATCATTTTGTGTTTAGTTTGCAGCCCTAAGTCACATTGAAATAAATAAAAACATTTTTTCGAAGCTGGCGTTTTTTGTGTATCAATCGATTAATTTGCAAATATCTCTAAAGCACTCGATGAAAGCTGTCTCGATCTCATTAGATCTACCAAGCTCAGATTTTTTGGTAACAGTTTTTTAAATGTTTAAAACATTGCGTTCTTACTGCTGCTGTGCCCTGTGTGTATACATATACCACTTAATAAAGAATCCCTTGCGTAGATCTACCAAGCTCTGTACCTGTGTTGTGATTTTTTTAGTGGTTATTTTGAGCATTTGTGAAAACATTGCAATGATCTGTCTCTGTCCCCTGAGTTTGTATTGATTTTTTTAACATTGAGTGACATTAAACGGAGAAAAGTCCTCATGTTGGGAAGGTGGCTATTATGGATGATCAATCGATTAAGCAATAAATAACTTCAGCGGCTGTATCTTTTTTATTGATCTATAAAATATCATGTTCTTTGGTGCATTTTTAAAACATTGCATTGATCCATATCTACATCAAGCACTCGATAAAGACGGTATCTTGTATGTAGATCTACAAAGCTCTGTACCACACGGGTGCTGGAGGATATGATCTTTTGGTGGTCTTTTTGTGTATTTATGGAATCTTGTTTAAATATGTTTCCTAACTTGTGTGTATCTCTTCCTCCAGCTGGAGATGGAGAAGCTGCAGCTGCAGAGTTTGGAGCAGGATCACCGTAAGCTGACGGCGCAGCTGAAGGACGAGCGTGAGAAGAACAAGCACATCGTCATGATGCTGGTGCGCGAGTGCAAGCAGCTGGCCACGCGGGTGGTGGAGGAGTCGCAGCGCTTCGACGAGCTTCAGGCCCGTCTGGACGAGGAGAGCCGAGCCTCGGGCCGGCTGCAGGAAGAACTCTCCACCGAGCGGCAGCGCAGCCAACAGATGGAGGCCAAGATGGAGAAGCAGCTGTCGGAGTTTGACACGGAGCGAGAACAGCTGAGAGCGAGGCTGGGCCGCGAGGAGACGGAGAGCCAGAGTCTACGGCAGCAGGTGGAGCAGCTTAGGACTGAACCGGGCGACGGGAAGGACGCGGAAGTCGCCGTAGAACCTGCTGCAGAACCTGCCGTAGAACCTGCCGTAGAACCTAAAGCTGCTGCAGAACCCACACCACCCACACCTAAAGCTGTGACGTCTGTGTCCGTAGCCACAGAGCCCATCAGCTCCCGAACAGCGTCTTCTCAAACGGACAACCTGCCCCCGACTGAGGTGGACGGTCCTATCTCAAAGAAGAGCCCCCTCACGGTCCCCGTCAAACCGACCCCCGCCAACTACGTGGGGCTGAGTCTGCCAAAGACGAGCGGGCGGGGGCTCGTCCACAGCAGCTCGGGGGGTCTCGTCCAGACGGAGAACGGCTCCGAGGGCCAACCCGCCCACGGCCTCCCCACCGGAGTGAGCCCTCGCGTCCAGGCCGCCCGCTACAAGTTCCAGGAACAGGACCAAAACGGCACGTCGTCCCAGAGTCCTCCGGCCCGGGACCTGTCGCCCACCAACCGGGACAACTTTGCCGCCAAACAGCAAGCCCGGCACACCGTCACCCAGGTGTTGTCGCGCTTCACCAGCCCCCCCGCGGGAGGACCCATGCGTCCGGGTCTCCCTCACTCCGCCTCAGAAGGAGGACCTTTCCCCGGACGCCTGAGCCACCCCATCGGCCTCAAGTCGCCCACGGTGGCCAGGATCGACCGGGGAAACCCTCCTCCCATACCTCCCAAAAAACCAGGGCTTTCCCAGACCCCCTCTCCCCCTCACCCCTCCATGAAGGGGGGGGTGGGGGACCGTTCCTCTGGGGGAAAACCGGCCACACCCCAGCTGCCGCCAAAACCCGCCCTGGACCTGGTCCCAGCCCTGATGGCCTCTCAGGTGGGTGCCTGCTTCTCCCCGGGGGGCGTCCGGACCCCTGCATGTGCAGAGTGCCCCCCCGTCATCAGCCCCGCCTCCACTGTCAGTAGCCCCTCCTCCATAAACCCCCCCTCCTCCTCCACCTCCATCTCCTCCTCCATTAGTGCCTCATCCTCCCGTAGCCCCCGAGCCTCAGCAGGCAGCCCCCTGGCAACAGCATCAGGTAAAGGGGCTCCTCCGTGCTCCACCCCCCTCCAGATCTCCCCCCTGCCTCTCCTCTTCAACTGTCTTTACACATAGCATAGCATAGAGTAGCATAGCATAGCACAGCATAGCGATAAAGTCACAGGAAATGTAATGTAATGCAACGTAGGATCTCCCCCCTGCCTCTTCTCTTCAACTGTCTTTACACATAGCATAGCATATCTAAGCATAGAGTAGCATAGCATAGCATAGCATAGCTAAGCATAGAGTAGCATAGCATAGCATAGCATAGCATTTTGTAGCATAGCATAGCACAGCATAGCGAACAAGTGACAGGAAATGTAATTTGATGCAACGTAGGATCTGCCTCTTCTCTTCAACTGTCTTTAGCATAGCATAGAGTAGCATAGCATAGAGTAGCATAGCATATCATTTTGTAGCATAGCACAGCATAGCGATAAAGTCACAGGAAATGTAATTAAATGTAAGAAAGCACATGGGTCTTTCGTTTCCCCCTCTCCTGATTTTCGATATATTTCCCAGCAGTAACCCCTTCCTCTCTGAAGCTGATGCCAGAGGCTGCTCTCCTCTCCTCCCCTCCCCTTTTCCATCCTCCAGATGCATGACAACTCCTCCACTTCCTGCACTCTTCCTGTGTCTGCTTCCATTAACTCATCACACCTGCGTCTCATGTCAGTGACGTTTCTGTTATTTATTTAATATAGATGTAGGCATTTTAATTAACCTTGTGATGTGCTTTTGGTGCTACGCTTGGTTGTTTACTGTTTATTACAACTTAGGCATTTTTTTCTATAATTTTTTCATCATTTCTATCTGTAAAAAAACAATTTTACTCAAACAGATATCAGAAGAACTGATAATTTGGTACAAGGTCTATGCCGAAATTCGAAGACGTAACCGTACTCTTTTCACTTATGGCTTTCCAGGGCTAATGGAAAACGTCCTGGATATGTGAAACAACAAGTCTATATTAAATCTGCAGGAGAATAATTACTACAGAATCAATTATTGGTTTTACATACCCCCCTAGGTGCACACATTTCACAATGAAGGAATATTACATATTAGTTTTACCCTCAAATCAGCTGGATCACAGAATTTGGCTGAACTCTCGGCTCATGTTTCCATGTTCATGTTTCCATGTTCATGTTTCCAGTCTTTTAATTCTTGTTGGTAATATTGCTGCTTTCACAGTCATTATATAAGAAAGGAAGAAAAACCTAAGAATACAAGACCTAGGTTGTAATAAACTGGAACCATCCTAAAATTGCACCTGTGAAATGTGACAAGTACATATGCATTTTTTTAAAGTCCTGTTCTTTTGCATGCAGATGTATCCCAATTTAAACGTATAAAGCTGCTCTACCTAGTAACTCAAACACATGTTTTGTAGATAACAAATAGCCTATAATGACGTAGTTAACAAATCCTTTAGAATATCCATTCAATCCATTAAAAATGTAAACAAATATGAGTTTTTTTATGTATTGTATCGGCTCTTTGTTAATAATTGCTCCTTTTTAAAAAACAAGTCCTCATATCCGCTGATGTAGCTGCCCTCCAAATATCTGGTAATTAAAAGTTAAATGACAGCCTCTAGAAGCACACAATATTTATATTTTTGTTACACCAGTGTTACCAACCTTTTAGGGTTTTATTGCATTTAATAGCACTTTCAAATCTTATAAATATGTGAATTGGTTTAGGGAAAGGGAAGGTCCACAGTCTCACCTGTCATCAAACAGTGTTTGCCCTTTTTAATTCGCCACCACCACCTGCTGACACACAGGAAGTGCCTCTATAACAGCTTCTATTACCTACGTCCTTAAGAATCTCTGCTGCAATTTACCGTTAGTCTCTTTTTATAACTCTCCACTCAGTCTGTGAGACACATTTCTGCACTCAAATTCTCCATCCTGCTTTTTTTCTAACTATTTTAGCCCTCCCAGGTCAGAATAGCAGAATAAACCATGGTAACAACTAGCATCTAAAGCCTTCAGCAGGTTTACTAAGTCGTTTTAGCAAAGTCGTTTAGTAATCAGGTCTTTTCTGTTCCCATTTTCATCTGTTTGTTCTACCAAATCATTTAATAACGCTGTATACTTGCACAGTAAGTAGTGTGTGAATTTTCTATTTGTCCACTGTGTGAATGATTGTACTGAAAGCTGAAGGCTATCCATCATCTCGCTGTTAATCTGACTCTTTTGTCCAGGCTGCAGCGCACGTCACATGTTAATTAAATTACCAACATTTTATCACAGGGTTTCTGCGTCATGAGAAATGCCTGGTATTGCTTTAAATAATTATTACAAATATGATCTATTACCACAGTAAACGATGTATGTAAAGAATATTAAATTATCTAAAAATCTTGTTTTTCATCTTGCTTATATTTGGCATGGTTTTCTCCTGGTTTAACACTATTTGGCCTACACGTTTAAACTATATTTATGTGCAATATTAATTTAAACCAGTTTAAATTAAAATTCAAATGTTAACTCTAGACCCAACCCGATTGGTAAATGTTGTGCAGCATGACATTTGACCAACCTTTTATTTTTATTTTTATTCTAATGGTGATCCAAAATGGTCTTGAGATCCTAGATATGTCAGGCTGTGTTTTACCAAAATGTGTATATAATAAAAAATAAGATGCATCAACAATTTCTGTAGAATAATCGGATATAAAAACAGGGTGTTACAGGCTTGAAATGGAAGTTTAATAATGCAAGCAGTATTTATCTTCAATAAAAAGGCATACACTGAGATACAATCTGAAAAAATATTGTTTCTAAATCTGTAGAAACTAAACATTTATACATTGTTAACACTACCAATATTTTCCAAATATGTCAGACTCAATTTGAAATGAATGTGTATTAAAAATAATGAACAAGATACCTTCAATGCATTAGGTTTCTGGTAAATATGTTGTGAGCAGTTCATATCTTCAATGGACAAGCATACAAAGTAATAAAGCGTCAGGCATTTTTCTCTACATTTACAAAACCCAAACATTTTTGAATGACATTTAAACAAGCTATAAAGAGTTTATTTTGTAAATCACGCTTCAGCAGCAGATCTAAATGGAGAGATTATCTCTGGTTTAGTAAAGGGAGTGGAGCATTCATCACAGTGTACCTGGATGACTTCCATCTGAAATAAAACCTCAGCATGTCACTTTACTTGTCTACATGTTTGTCACCATAATCCCCCGGTAATCCTCTTGATATGCTCATAACATTACAGTCGTAACATGGGATTTAGCCGCAAATAGCTTCAGGCTAAAGCAACACAAACAAACTGAGTGGCTTCACTGAGAGGTTACATATTTGATTATTGTGGCAATCTTGTAACTAGCTAAAATAAGAATGTCTACCTATTATTAGGAGAGCATTTTACACATTATTGTTTGGCTATTTTCCTGCTGAAAGACACTTTAACTAGTCTACAGTGTGTGTGTGTGTGTGTGTGTGTGATGGTGATAGCTAATTAGTTTATCAAGCTAATGCTAAGGGTCGAGCTAGCGCTATTAGCACCTAACTTGGATGCTTATAGCTTCAAGCTACAGCAACAGAAACAAACTGAGTGGCTTCACTGAGAGGTTTAATATCAGATTTTTTCGGCAATCTTGTAATTAGCTGAAATAAGAACCCTTACCTTTTATTAGGAGAACATTTCACACATTATTGTTTGGTTGTTTTCCTGCTGAAAGAGACTTTAAGTACAGTTTGTGTGGTGGTAGATAGTTAGTTTATCTAGCTAATGCTAAGGGTCGAGCTAGCTCCATTAGCGCGTAGCTTGGATGCCTTATAGCTTCAATCTACAGCAACATAAACAAACTTATTTGTATTTTTGTTATATTTTTAATATTTGATTTTGTGGCAAGCTTGTAACTAGCTAAAAATAAGAACACTAACATATCATTAGCAGAACAGTTTACACAATATATTATGTTTGGTTAGTTACCTGCCGAAAGACACTTTAAATACAGTCTGTGTGATGGTAGCTAGTAAGTTTATCTAGCTAATGCTAATGGATGATTTAGCCTCATTAGAACCTAGCTTGGATGCTGAAATAAAAACACCTAGCCTACCTAATATTGGCAGATCATATCACACATTCTTATATGTTTGGTTCGTTTTCTGCTGAAAGAAACGTCACTGTGTGTGTTATTTAGCTCGTTAGTTTAGCTAATGGTTGAGCTAGCCTTCTTAGCAATTAGCTTGGATGCCAAATAGCCAACATCATTTAAAAAAAATATTTTTCTTCTTTGAGTTTTTAAAAAAAATATCCTTAAGGTTCTGACTGAAAATACTATACTTATGCATAATATTCTTTATCATCTTGTTCCGGCTGTTCATCAAAGTTGTATGATGTTTACACTGGCTTTGAGATCAGACCCAATATTCATAAAAATATGTTCAAGCTTCATGTTATCATCAAATGGAAATAATTATATCTTCTGCCTCATTTTATAAACAACTCACATATCCAGCCTGACATATCTGGTATCTTTGAGACTTTGGGATCAACACTATATATTCTGGTAGATTTTCTCCAAAAATAATCATGCCAAGCACCTCTTCAAATTTTGTTTTTACCTGAGTTGTTCATACGTTTCTTAAAAATAAGTAATTCAGCACACCAAAAAAAGCATTAAACAAATGCAAATAATGAAAAAAAAATAGAAATAAACTAAAATCAAAATCCTCCAATTAGTGGATTAAAGGTGGCAAACTTTAAATATTAATAATAATAATAATAATAATAATACATTTGATTTTATAGCGCTTTTCCTAATGCTCAAAGACGCTTTACATACAGACAGAAACAATGCAAATAAATGAACAATGTTTAGCTGCAAAACATGAACTTGTCATCACTGGAAATGATCTCTAATCCCATACCTCACTTCCTGGTTGCTGCTCAGACAAAAGAGACTCTACTGTGATATTCAATTCAATTCACGGCTTTTATTGTCATGTGTACATAGCTATAGTGCAGTTATGACAATGAAAATCTTAGGTCACAGGCTCCTCCAACAGTGCAACACAATAACACAGATAGTGCAAATAAATATAATATAATAGAAATAGTGCAGAATAGTCTGTATACAAGTACTTGGAGTATTGATATAAATTGCAAACAGATGAATGTTATGGATGTTCTTTCAAAAGTTCAGGTGTTTAACAATTATGGCCTGTGGGGTGAAACTGTACCATAATATAATATGTGTGAAACTGAAGTTTGCTCTCCTCCCCCTCCCACCTTCTTACACCTTTGCTCTCCCATACTCAGTACTTCTAGTAGCTTCCTCTTCCTCCTCTTCCTCCTCTTCCTCCTCCTGGTAGTTTAACCTGTGCTGCTCCTGCTCCCCCCCCTCGGCGGCGGAGGCCCTGCTGCCCTGGACGGCGGGCGCCCCCTCCTCCCCCAAGCTGCTTCCCAGGGAAATGTCACTTTATTGTCAATGCTGCTTAACCAACCAGACCCGACCACCATCACCACCAACACCACTACCAACACCACCACTACTACTACTACCAACAACACCACGGAGAACAACAATCATCCAGACCAAGACCTCCACCACAACCACTACCAAACCGCTGCCTTGTTTGCTGCTGCTCAGAATGGACACACAGGTGAGTCAGAAATACACTTATTAGTGCTTCTCTTTAGAGGTTTAAAGGTCACCTATTATGCAAAATCCACTTCTTCATGTCTCTTCTACATCAACATGTGTCCCCTCTTCTTCATGTCTCTTCTACATCAACATGTGTCCCCTCTTCTTCATGTCTCTTCTACATCAACATGTGTCCCCTCTTCTTCACGTCTCTTCTACATCANTCCACACGTTCACTCTACGGTGTTGTTTACCTTCTGTGATGCGCGAGCTGATGACGTCGCTTCATCATCATCACTACTTCACGTCAAGACGAGTTCTAACTTTTTTTCCCTCAACTTTGTGTGGAAAAATGCGGGGATTATGCGGCCTTTTGATAAATATGCAGCCTTTTAAAAATCTGCGCCATTTTGCTGATTATGCGGTAAATTCTGCGATCGCAGAATCGCGTTTTTCTGGAGGGTCTACTTATTATACATCCTTGCACAAAACACAGAGCAGCTTTCTCCACCAACACAAGCAACACCAGTCCAGCACCAGAGACAGAATGACCGTCTCTGAATCAGGCCGTGCCGCTGCGGCTCAGAGACACATGTGGATTTACGTTTAGTTTTTTTTAGGGGTGCACCGAATGGGAAATTCTTGGCCGAAACCGATACCGAAAATAGGANNNNCATGTCTCTTCTACATCAACATGTGTCCCCTCTTCTTCATGTCTCTTCTACATCAACATGTGTCCCCTCTTCTTCATGTCTCTTCTACATCAACATGTGTCCCCTCTTCTTCATGTCTCTTCCTCTTCTACATCAACATGTGTCCCCTCTTCTCCATGTCTCTTCTACATCAACATGTGTCCCCTCTTCTTAATTTCTCTTCTTCATCAACATGTGTCCCCTTCTTCTTCATGTCTCTTCTACATCAACATGTGTCCCCTCTTCTTCATGTCTCTTCTACATCAACATGTGTCCCCTGTGTGGAAAGAGACTCTGAAAGTTTCAGGAACAAAGATTCTCTCTCTTTTTGTCCTGATCCATTTCTATAAAAACCTGTCTGAAAATGAGCTGATCAGATTTTGGCCACTTTATGATGTCATAACGATTTTTTGGCTTTTGGTGTAACCATTAGCCAATCACCAACCAAGGTAACCCCCCCCCCCCCT